CTCTGCAGCCCAGGGTCCCCCCTTCCACCTTCTCTTTTTTTTCTCACCAGAGGCTCCTCCCCACCCATCAGTGTGTTGTCCTCAGGTGGAGGGCCTAATTGCCTTTGTGGGATGGGAGCTGCCGGCATGTAGGAGAGACAGACAGACAAGGTAGTGTAAGGTATGTTTCCCCAGACACCTGGCATCCTTCTCTCTGAGACTTCCACCCTTACAGCTTCCCCATAGCCTTCATCTGGCTGCCTCAGTATCCGGCAGTCCTCGAATCCACAATCACCTCTGCACAAATGCCTTTACTGTCGGTGAACCCTCTGCCACTACCATACCATTTTATTTTTTCTCATGGCCACATGTTGCTGCTGCTTTGACTGCTGCTCCTTCTCCTTTCCCTCCCCTTCCTCCTCTCCATCTTGCCCCTTCTCTTCTTCTTCCTTCTTATTTTTTTTTCTTGTTGAAAATTATTACAGCATGTTTGTGTAATTTTATTATGACGTTTATTTTTAAATTGCTTTATTTTCTGTATGTGAGTCATCTTGGAATATAAAACATCAATTGAGAAAATGCCCCAGTTAGATTGGCCTATGGGCAAGCCTGTGGTACACTTCTTGATTCATACATAATTGATCTGGGAGGGCCAGCTCACGGTGGGTGGTGCCACCTTTAGGCTGGTAGTTCCGGGTGCTGTAAAAAAGCAGGCTGAGCAAGCCATGGTGAGCAAGCCCGTAAGCAGCACCCTTCCATGGCCTCTGCATCAGTGACTGCCTCCAGGTTCTTGACTTGAGTTCCTGCCCTTACTTCCCTGGGTGATATAAGGTATAAAATGAAATAAACCCTTTCCTATCATAGCCACAGAAACTCTAACTAAGACACAAAGACAGAATGTTCCTTGGCGCTCTCTAATCAGCAATTCTAGACAATCTGTGAGCTCCGGGTTTGGTCAGAGAACCTATCTCAAAAGGTAAATGGACAGTAATTGAAGAAGACACCCAACATTGACATTTGACCTCCACCCATATACGCACACATGTTCACCCCGCTATTACACACAGACACATACAGCCCACATGCGGGATGGGGAACAGTGACCACCGGTCCTCAGCATTAGAGTGGTTTAAAACATTCCCTCTCTCTGGCTCAGTTTTTCATTTCACATGAGGAAAATACTGCTAATAGCCTGACAAGCTTGGCTTGGACCCTTGCCAGGAGTGACAAACTTGTCTTTCTCACTTTTCTATTATGGGGTCATGTAACTCGTCATTTAAATGACTTCTTAGCTGGAGCCTTGGCTGTTCTGCTTCTGTTAATAAAAAGGCCGTGCGTGTTCCATCAGCACTCTCATTATCTGAATTCCTGCATAGAAATGATGATGTAATTCCCAGACCCTCAGCCGGAGGGCAAGGGGTGATGGGAGACACCGGGATAGCACTAATCGACTTATGCAGCAGTGCCTGACATGGGGGAAGAATGCCTCTGGGCAACAGCAGCCTGTTTGCAGAGAGTCCTCCCAGGTAGATTTCCCTGTGAGCTGTGTATGTTAAGTTTTTTGTTTGTTTGTTTTAAAGCCAGCATGTAGATCATGAACCCTCATGTCATAGCTGCCCATAAGCCACCTTCTGTCTTCATTAGGAAGGGTTATCGTGAAAAGCACAGGGGCCAGGCACACCTAGGAAGGCAACAGGCTAATGGCTTCATCTCAGCTTCCTGGGCCCTTAGAAGAGTTGGGGTCCAGGCGCAAGGCTATCTCTTCCCTGCCCTTGCTCCATGAGTCACTCTGGAGAAAGCACTACACAGTGAAGGGCACCCCCCTGCCCCCGAACTCCCCTGGGAGCAAGTCTGAAGGTGTGCAGTGCTGCTCCAGGTGCAGCTTTCTTGGTGGAGGGTTCAGCCCCGGGCAGGTCACTGGAGCCAGCCACATCTTGAAGCACCACATGAAGGACGGGAGAGTTGGCTCAGCTGGTACAACACTTGCTCCGTAAGCATGAGAGCTGAGTTCAGATCCCCAGCTCCCACCTCAAACTTTGTGGGTGTGGTGGTGTGCACCTGTGATCCCAGCAATGGGGAGACAGAGACGGGGATATCCTTGGAACTTGCTGGACCATTCTAGACCCTGTCTCAGAAATATGAGATGCAGTGTGATAGAGGAAGACACGTGACATCAGCCTCAGGGCTCCACACACATGCACTCACATACCCATGATCATACCCACTTGTGTATACACATATACATACATGCACATGGGCTCCATGTAAGAACTTTCTCTAACTCACCTGCTTGTTTAATCGTCCATTCATTTACTTACATCCCAGAGACTGTGACAGGCCCAGGTGAGCAAGACTGCCTTGGCCTCTGTGGGGGCTGCTGCAGGTAAGGGAAGAGCAGGCGTTCCCTGAATCTCTTGTCTGGTACTAAAGGAAGAACAGAAACAGCCTGGGTTGTGACTCTAGCAACCCATATATATAAAAACTAGAGAATAACAGCAACATAATGGTTTTCTAAAATTCCCCTGGATACTTGCAATGTCAGCTTTACTTTAAAAACTGTCATTTGATGGCTGGTTTAAAAAGGATACATTGGTCTCTCTCTCTCTCTCTCTCTCTCTCTCTCTCTCTTTTGGATTTTTTTAAATTAATTAATTCAACTTCCATGTCAGTCATAGGCCCCTCCCTTCGCTCCTCCCATTCCCACTCTCCCTCCTGTATCCTTTCCCACCTGTTCCTCAGAATAGGGGAGCCCCCCCTAGCCAGACACCCCAGCTCATCCATTCACATGAGGACTGACTTCATCTTCCTCCCCTGTGGCCTGGTAGGGAAGTCCCATCAGGGGAAATGATCAAAAACCAGACAACATAGTCTGAGTGAGATATCCTCCACTCCCCTAACTAGTGGGCCCACATGAAGCCTAAGATGCCCATCGGGCTTATCTTCTTGAGGTCTGTGTATCGTAGTATGTCTATCTATGTACTCTATGACTCTTGATACAACAGAGCACAGGGCACCTTTATTCTGGTGGGGAATGCTCTAACGCCAAGGCTTGAAGGCCCTTTACATAGCTCAGCCTGATGTCTCCAGTGCTGGCTCCCAACAGCTTCAATTAACATTTATTGACTTTGACGCTGTCATTGTCTCCATTTTTTTTTTAACAAAGGAATCAGAACACCATACTGATTTCACACACACATACAAAAAAATGTTTAAGCAAATTCAGCTAAATGAAGCAGAACATTGAAGAATTCAATTTATATTCCTTGGATAAATATACAGCTATTAAAGCAGCTTCTAGTAGAAGCAGTAATAGGTTATTCTGCACTTTTAAAAATGATTTTGGTGCTCAGCGCACTGAGCGTAACTGTACCTCTCAGCTGCCACTGCTGTATTTTTGTGGTGTCACTTCATTTTGGTTTTGCTTCAAGAGCAGTTCTTAGGATATCAGTGGGGGTGTGGCTCAATGGGTAGAACACTTGCCTAGCATCCCCGGCACCCAAACTGGGTGTGGGGACAACCCTGTGATCTCAGAACTCAGCAGGTAGAGGCAAGAGGATCAGAAGTCTAAGGCTATCCTTTGCTACATAGCCAGTTCACAGCTAGCCTGGGGTAAAGGTGACACTGATTCTAAAGGAACGAAGGAAGGAAGGAGTTAGCTGTCAAGGAGCAATCTGTTGAAACCCTAACAGCAGAAGATAAACCTTGTGTGAGGTCACCTTCCTTCGAAGCTTTTGCTCTGTGCTGTCCGTGTCTCCATGTAGGATTAGGCCTGGAAGCCTGCCCTTCTTGATGTCCTCACAGACAGATCGAAGGGAGAAATGGTGGGTCTTCAGCATCCTGTTCTTCAAACATCTCTGCAGAAGGCTAATTTAAGTTTCATAAAATTGTTAAAGGATGACTTTCACCAGCTGATGTCAGTAAATATGAAATCTTGAAATATTGTTAAGCTTTTAGGACATACAATTTAAAGGTTATTTATATCTTAAAAAGAGGTTATAACTGGGGGAAATTTGGAAAACAGAAAACAGTATAAAGAAAACCTGGAAATTTCCTACATTTTTCTTCTACTGAAAATGATTTCAAATCATTCTATTATGTTGTTATTTAATATATAAATTATACTACTATATATAAAATAAGGTATGGTTTCTTTTTAAAGAAAAATAAAGTCTTTACTCTTATATTAGTGCTTTTATTTCTTTTTCAATGAATTAGGTTGTTGTGTTTTGTTTTACTTACATAATTATATTGCATTAGTGTTTTCCTTGTTTGTTTGTTTTTAGAGATGATCTCATGTATCCCAGGCTGGCCTCAAACCTCATATGTAGCCAGGAATGGCCTTAATTTCTAATTCTCCTATAGCATTGGATTACAGGCCTGTACCACTGCACTCAGGTCAGATGGTGCCGAGGGCTGAACCTGGGGCCTGATATATGGTGGGCAAGCACTCTACTAACAGAGCTCTGTCACCAGCCCAAGCTGGATGACCAGACTCTCAAGGTCATTCTCCCTTCAGAGGGATTTTGAGGCTAACCTGAAGTGTTAAAAATAGGAAAGATATCTTTAAAGTATAACTTTTACGGCGTGAGTTTCTGCCCCGCCTCTTCGGGTGCTAGAATCATTAATAAGATTAGGTGGCCCGAGCCTAAGGATCCACTACCCTTGTCTCCTTTCTGACATCCCTTTGCATCTCTTCCGCTGGCAGTAGGCAGATGTCTTTTGTAAGGATAATAGTGTTGGGGTGGGAGATTTATTTCTACCAACAAGAGAAGCATCTTGGGGATGGACCTGTAGGACTTGTTTCTTGGACAGAGTTGGAAACTCATCACCTCTCCTAACTACTCTCCCCACTAACTTACTGCTGCCAGGGAAAGTGATCTGAACAAAAGCCTAAGGAGCTTATGGAAGGAAGGGACTGTAGTAGATCCTGTAGAGCCCGGGGAAATTTGCCTGAATCTTATCACTTACTTTCTTATTCTTCCTGGGAATTTGTGACTATTTATCAATTGTCTCTTCCCTAGGGAATTAGGGGCCAGGGAGAAGACACTTCAATCACCAAAGAGGTAGGATGGAAATCTCGCCTGTGTTGTACAGCTCATAGAAGCCATCTGTTCATCAGAGTGAACTGAGATCTCATCAGACAGTCTCAAAGACTTATTATATTGTCAGTAAAAGCCTAATGCTACAGCGAATGAATTAACACCAGGCCGTGCTGACTTCAGCTGGTGTCAAAATGAGCTGCACTGGAGCACTCATAAATATGCACACAGGGAAGTTTGGGTGGGTTTAAAATTAGACCTGCTCCCTTAAACCCAGAGAGGGCATTCCTGTCCACGAAGGAGAAGAAGAAATTAGGCTCTGCTAGGAAGAGTAAGATCTTAAGAGAGAGACCTCTGGCTGCCTGGCAGTGGGGAGGGGAAACATGCTTGCCCCGTTGGCCCACGTCTGTTTCTCAGGGGCTCCCCTCTCTGCCCTGCTGTGTAGAGTAAGCAAGCGTGAGGACCCATTTAGCTCTCTGTGTGCTGCCTCCCATACTGTGGACGAAGAATTTTTGTTCGGTTATTAGAACTGTCAAAAGCATGTTCCATCCCTTCCCTCAAAACAATGGCTCTTCCTCAAAGTTTCTGAAGTTGTAAGGTCATGTGGTATGTCTGTGGGGTTAAAGTGACCCAGGAAAAGTCCCTGAAATGAGAAACTTATCACCAAGGCCAGGCTGAGGCCCCTGTGCAGATATAGAAAGGCCAAGGCCTGTTGCACAAAAGTGCTGAGATCCTTGCATTAGCAGAATTTGAATTATGAACTAAATAAGATAAGGAGCCTACTACTTCTTCCTGTAGTTAATTCAACGAAGAAACAGGGAATAGTTTCTGTTATTTGAAGAGCAAAATTCCATCATATTCATACCTGTTATTTATAGTTATATTTTATAAAACCAGAATCACATTCTCAATCCCCACTTGGGCAGCCCTGAGGTCTTCCACAGCTTCCAAAGACAAAGTATTTGGGCTCTGTGCATCGTCATTTTCTTAAAGACCTACAAATGGTCAGCAGGTGCAAATGGATGAATGTCTCCCAAGTCCAAAATCCTTCTTTCTAGTTCAAGCAGTTTAACTAGGGAGAAAACTGCAGCCTTTAAAATGTATTAAGAAATAGTTCAGATATGCTGGAAAGTTGTTTGAAATGTGAAACAAATGACTTTGAACTTGCTATTCAAAGTAAGAAACAAAAGATGAGCAACACAGATGAAGTTCCTCTAGCCCTCTCCTATCCCCAGATAACTACCGTCTTGAATTTAAGGTTGTTCTCTGCTTATGCTTGGTTTTTCATGTTTCGAGCTTTATATAAAACTCTCTATGATCATGTGTTTAGTTTGCAGTTCTTTTTTTTTTTTTACTTTTTAAATTATAATTTGTTATTCTAGTTTAGTATACCTTTACTTTTACTGTGTATATAGAAATGTTGGTTTTTTTTCTTTTTATTAAAAATAGATTTTTTTTCTCATATAATATATACTGATTACAATTTTCCTTTCCTCTACTACTCCCAGTTCCTCTCCACCTCCCCTCCCATCTGGATCCATTCCATTTCTGCCTCTCATTAGAAAACAGGCATATCACTCTTTACTTAACTCTTCCTTAAACTTTATTAAATATCACTAAAGTGTCTACAGAGAGTTATACCAACTTAAATATACACTATCAATACACAAAACTCTATAATGGTTCTTGTTGTTTCCTCTTTGGCATTGTCTTGATAGCACCAGAGTATAATTTTTACATTTCCAGTTATTAGTGAGGCAGAGCCTGCTTATTGGGCAGTTTTCTGTCAACTCTGTGAATAATTCTCTTCTGTGACACTCTTCTACCGGGAAGTTGGAGGTTGTTGACAGTGTCCCTCATCACCTCTTAGGTGGTCTTAATGTGTTCTGAAGGCTAGCTCTTGGAAGATGTGCTGCAGCTATCCCCCTCACTCTTCTCTCTGTGCTTATGGTTGAACTTTGCTGCCCCACTCTTGGTCATTTTCACGCAGTTGGCTATATTTCTTCAGCAGATTGGGTGTGGCTGCTGGTCATTTTCATGCAGTTGACTACATTTCTTTAGCAGTTTGGTTTTCTCCCTCTAGCCCGGAAGGCTGTCCCTCAGCATTTTTCAGAGGAGAGCTCTAAAATCTGCATTTCACATTTAACTCCTTAAATGTCTCAGGATTAATTGTTCTGTTTTGTAGGAGCTAAATTCCATTTTCTTTCATTTGCAAAAGTGTGGTCCTAACGCCATCTATTGAGTAGTTCATCACTGGCCCTCCAAGGATAGTCCATTAGCTACCAGTTATCGAGATCCCCGCCTTTCCCATTGGTCTGTCTACTTGACACCCCAGGATGAAATGCTTGCTGCCTTCATCACTATAGTTTTACAGAAGGTTATCAAAGAAGATTCCTCCACCTCATTCTTCAGAATAACTTGGCCAATTTTAGTACTTGTTTAATCTTTGTCCTTTCCTCAGCTTTGTCCTGACTGGGTATATATGATAAAATGCCAAAACTTAGGCAAAAGAAGGAAATTAAGCAAAAGCCAGCCAATGCAGCTGTCTTGCTTTTAACATGCTTTTAAATGCATGCTTAAAATACTACTTTTAAATACATGCTTACACACAGAGGGTTTATGAAGTAGTGTTCAAACTGTACATTTGTGTTCTGGGATCCCTAAGAACATCCAATTTAAAGGTCAGGCTGTCCCTAGAGACACCCCCAGAGGGCACTGATTCCATCACAGCATGGGTCTAAGAATGAAGCTTTCTGTCTAGTTCAGAGGAGACTTTATTTCCCTGCGACATTTCCATAACCTCATGATGATTCATTGGTGTTCTGCAGTGTGCTCAGATTGAGACGTTCTTGTATGGCTCACATGACAAGAGGACTCTGGCCACCCAGCAGACTATAGACAAGTGAGTCACTGTCCTCACATTTTCTCTTAAGACCGTATCCCTCCACCATTCTGAACCTCAAGCTGCTATTAAATGATCTGTGGGAGTTTCATTGTCTTCCCATAACTTAAATAGTTGAACAAAAGAATAGGTCCTCCGAGAAGCCAGTTATGAAACACATCCCTTGCCCCAATATCAGAAAGGAATTTATTCTTTAATAATGTTGAAAAATTCTGGCTTTTATCCTCCCATAGACTAGGCCCTGTAGGTTTACACACCTGCAGAGATGGAAGGCCTTGCCTCTAGAACTCTGCCTTGCAATTTCCTCTCGTGGGTGTCAGAGTGTCAGGACTGTACCTTGAAGACTGGTCCTGTGTCTTTTCTCAACAGAGAGAGAAGTGTGTCACTATCTGGGGAGGGCTGCCATTCCACAGACCAGTATGCCCTGAGAGCCTATGGGCTGAGGGTCAAGACCAGGTCAGAAAATTACACCAGTGGCCTTCACTGGAGGCCAGACCAGCCAGAAAGAGTACCATCCTCTTTTAGGACAGCATAGGTGGGCCAACAAAACCTCCCACCAAAACTGGACAGTCTTCTCCACTCTCACCCAGTCACTGACCTACCTAAGGCCTGACTTGCCTCAGCTTGGTGATGATGGCTCTAGAGCACTAAAAGAGAAGAAACACCTTAGTTTGATGCTCCTGTGCCATTCACATCCCCTCCTGAGGCTTCTTCACAGCAGCAAAAAGCTGGCGGGAACTGTGACAACCTGAGGGTCCATACTCACCCATCTTCTTTCTGTCTGCAGGATCCCTGAGGCTCCCGGGAAGTCAAGGCAATCTTTGAAAACCAAAGTAGCATTCTGCACCAGTGTCCCTCAGCACACGGTGCCAGGGAAGGCCAGGCACAATGCAGACTGATACCCCCATATGCCATCCCAAAGAAAGCTCTGACAAAAACTCGGCATGGCTTTTAGGATGCTGAACAAAGCTCCCTCTAACTAGACGGTGGAATTTAGTAGCCACTGAAGATCCTTAAGGCTGTGTGCTCCAGCGTGCAACAGCCAACCATGAACCTTGCACATCTCAACTGTGAATGGCCTTCAGGGTGATATGGTGCTTCACTTATTTACTTGCCTCATTTTTATGCTGTCTTTCCCCAAGGATAATTTTCCCCTGTCCTCTCTGCTGGGGCTGAAAGGCTCTTCCGAAGTCGGAGCTTCTGTCCAGGAAAGGAGATTCACCTGATCGCAGGCGGAGCTCCTGCTCAATCCAGTACCTCATCTGGGGCAAAGAGACTCCGCACAAATCCTCCCTTATAAGAAAGTAATAGTAACTGAGAAGAAAATGCCAATAAACAGTAACTTCTACTAATGCCAGTTTCTGTGTTTAAAAGGAAGACCGGAGCTGGCAATGTGGCTCATGACAGAGTGCTTGCCTGGGCTCCATGAAGCCTGTTATGGTTTGAGTGTGAAATGTCCCTCATAGACTCATGTGTTTGAACACTTGGTTTCCACTGCTGGGAGGTCTTGAGGTAAGGGTCTAGCTGGTGAAGTGAGTCACTGGAGGAAGGCCTTGAGGTTTCTTAGCCTGAGTCTTCCCTGCCTTCCCTACAGTGGTGTGTGTGTGTGTGTGTGTGTGTGTGTGTGTGTGTGTATGTGTGTGTGTGTGTATTTACACACTTTCTCACACCTCTTCTCTCTATAAGCCAAAATAAACCCTTTGCTTCTTGTTGGTTGTTTGATCATAGCAATGAGAAAAATAACAAGGAGAATGGGCACTGGGAGTGGGCCACTGCGGTAGGGCTGTGCGTGGTTCTTGCATGTTTGGAATTGATTTGCAAGAATACTATGTAAAGGTTTGGAATTATGGGCAAGAGAGTCCCTAGAATGCTGAAAGTAGATCTTAATAGACCATCCTGGTGGGGTTCTAGAAGACAGAATGCTAAGACGAATCCTGACAGTAGAGGAGAATATGGACTCTGTTAGGACCTGGGCTAGGGCCATTTGTCCTACATTATAGCAAAGACTCTGTCTACATTCTGCCCATGTGCCAAGAACTTACGTACACCTAAATTTAGAAGTAACAGACTGATGTGCTTGGGGGATGGAGTTAGTCTAAGACAGGGTAGCATTCATTTGTGGTGTAGTTACTGTTCCCTGTTCTTATCCAGAGGGAACGACAAGTGGAGCAGAAGAATAAAAGATGTGGCATTTGGTGGGGAAAAGAGTGACTTTAAAATTGGAAATAAGGTAGATACAAAAGCAGCTTGGTTGTGAAAGGGTCTAGCTGCCCCTTTAAGAAGGAATCCAGTGTTCTGCATTGGGACAAAAGAAAAGCTGTCCTGATGCAGAACTCCACCCACCAAAGGCTCCAATTCTGGAAAATGCATATGTCCTTGAAAGGAGTTAAGTAAGCCTGGACTGGGAAAGCAGGGGTCGCTACTTGGAAATAAATGCCTGGGAATAGAGGCCTGTGCAGCCGCGGTCCACATGGGTCAGACTACATCTCAGCGATGACAGCAGGACCTGCTGGTATTATCCACATAGTGCTGGTTGTGTGGATGTGCAAAATACAAGTGATGGGGTCAGGGGAGTTTGTGCCAAGGTTCTGAAAGGCACTGAAGCCATAGTGTGACACTGTAACAGTGAAGCTTAACTTGTAATGGAGACCTCAAGATGCAGAGCTGTCAGGACCACACATGCGGTGCCAGCTGAAGGACTCTGCCACAGGGTCACACCACCCCGTTAGAGGCCCCATGCTCTTCAGGGTGCACAACTGTCGGGACAGGAATGCCCAAGCTCTTCAGAGCCCTGATGGTTCCATGGTGAGCCTCAGGTGAACAGAGTTGAAGGATTTGCCCTGCTGGGCTTTGATCTTGCTTTGGTCTGATCTTCCCTTGTTACAGGCCTGATTCCTCCCTTTTGGAATGGGAAAATTTACTCTGTAGTGTTGATGTTGGAAGTAGGAGTTCCTCCTTGGACTGAATGCATCTTGCATTATGGTCATGAGCTGATGGAGGCAGAGGCAAATGTGGTTTGAATGTGAAATGTCCCCTGCACGGTCATATGTTTGAACATTTTGTCCCACGTTGGGCCTTGAGGTGGGCCTAACTGAAGGAAGGTGGGTCATTGGAGATGGGCCTTGAGGTTTCTTAACCCCACCCTACATCCTATTTTTTTACTTCCTGGCTGTGGGTGTAGTATGGCCAACCACCTCATACCCCTGCTGCTCTGCCTTCACTGCCATGAGAGGCTGTATCCCTTCGAACTGTAAGCCCAAATAAGCCCTTCTTTCTTGTTTCTTGTCAAGTCTTTGATCACAGCAATGAAAAAAAAAAAAAAAAAAAAAAAAAAAACGAACAATACAAGGCCCTCAGTTTGACCTCCCGAACTGCAAACAAATAAAATGAAGCACTCCACGAGTTTCCCAAGACTGAAAGGGTGTGTTGGGGAAGGTGCATCTCTGTTAATGTACTCAGTTTCATATTTCTGATCACCTCATATCCTGTTAGGCCTGTGAAAACACGAGGCTAAATCAGTCAACACAACACACAGTCCCATCTTCTTGAGCTTTAACCCAGTGCGTCACTAGCTATCAAACACAAGAGCATAATCAGTAAATGCAGTGTGGCAGTTTTGACACTCTGGGGACACTAGAATAGGGTTCAGGAGTGATGGATATTGGTACTGAGGCCCTCACGGAGTGATCTGGAAGGAGGACACTGGTTCAATACTTCTTGTCTCCTGTGGTTGCTATCCTAGGCAGGACAGGAAGCTGCTGCTACAGCTTGCATAGCCTCTAGTGTCATGCCCACAGTGGTCTTCATTCTCCTTAGTGGACACCACAGTTGGGTGAAGGTAGAAAAGTTAAGCAGTAAGGTTGAGCCTCTTTCTCATGACTGTAGAGAGATTGGTGCTGGGAACAGGGTAGACAGAGCACCCAAAGGGTAGGGGGTACCAGTCCAGGCAGAATTGTCCCGTCTCTTAGCCCACGGCTCCGGCCACTGAGGCCACAGGCCATTGCTAAGAGAGCAATAGGATTAGAGCATAACCCTTTCCTGTTATATCCATTTGTTCAGAGTGACAGTAAGGGAGAAACTAACCATGACAGGGTGGAGAAGTGTGGCGGTTCAGCAGGCAGACCATCCTTGCTTATACCTGTTCTCCCAGACTCAGGCCTAACTGAAGATGCGTGTTCAGCATGGCTAGGGGGGAGAGCATTTTAAAAACAGAGGCTTCCATAGGTTTCCTTGTCCCTGAAATCTTATGTCTGGAGCCTTAGCACCCAAGGACATCTGAGATGGACTCTACGAAGGATGATCAGATCACAAGGAGGCAGCATGGATAGGAGATGCCGGTAGGTGGGATCAAAGTCCTTACAAAGAAGAGAACCAAGAGAAATGGATCTCTTTACTCCAGGAAGACAGCAGCAAGGTAGCTGCCTACAAGCCAGGGAGCGAGCCCTGACCTACCAGAAGTAAATCTGGCAGCATCCGAGGCTCGTATTCTCAGACCTCCAGACCTCAGAAATAAACACGCATCGCCAGAGCCACCCAGCAGCACAAAGACATGTGGCATCTGGTCTGTTCCCTTGTCCTTACTGAGCTTCTAGGAATATATTTTAGGATCACAGAAAATAAACTCGTCTTTAAATGTCAGCTCCTGCCCCAGGAAGGGTGAGTTTATCAGTGTAAAAGAAGGGGTGGGTGCTGTTTTTGTCAATGTGGCACAGGGGAGGGTCACCTGGAAGGGGGACGCTCGGTTGAGGAAATGCCTCCACTGGTTGATCATATCTGTGGGGGATTCCCTTCATTAATAATTAATGCGGGGGGGGTGCCAGCCCTGGGCAGGTAGTCCTGGAAGGTATAAGAAAGGTGGCTGTACATGAGCCAAAGCACAAGCCAGTAAGCAGAACTCATCCACAGCCTCTGCTTCAGTTCCTGCCTTCAGGTTCCTGCCCTGCTTGAGTTCCTGCCTTGCCTACGCTCAGCGATGGACTGTGATCTGTGCATGTAAGTCAAGCAAACCTTTTCCTCCCCAAGTTGCTTCCGGTCATTGTTTTACCACAGCAACAGAAAAGGAACCAATATAGTGAGTTTTATCAATGTTCCCCCACTAATGCCATTAACTCCCACAAATGAGAGAAATACAACTACTGATGTCTTTATTTTTGTTGGTAAAAGGCTAGATTACAGACAGACAAGTCACCCGATTCTTGTCTCAGTGTGTGTGTGTGTGTGTGTGTGTGTGTGTGTGTATGTGTGTTTTGCAAGAAACTGAAAAACGGCCATGAGAAACCTTACAAACTCTGCTTTGCATATCCAGCTGTCCAGCTCCCGCCCAGGACAATGCTGGTTTTAGCACCGAATAACTGTGCCTTGGCACACACTCTTTTATCCAGGTCAGAATGGATGGCTCTCTCATCCTGCTGGCAACAGTCTTCCAGGCTAGGATGACATTTTACCACCAACTCTCAGGTCTCCACTTGGATACAAGCAAGTTAGTGCGTGCTGTCTAGTTTGTACCTACAGCACACAATTCTGATCTCAAGAGAAATGGGGAAGATGGAAGTTTCCATATGTGACCTTCCAGTAACTCAGGGCTACCATCAAAATATGGACAGAAACCCAGGTTGGCTTTCATTAGAGTCTAAAAGAACCATATGAAAACTGGCCAGAAAAACATTTAAGAAGAATACAGGGGCTGGGTGTGGTGGGGCAGGCCTTTAATCCCAGTACTCAGGAGGCAGGGGTAGGCAGAGCTCTGAGTTTGAGGCCAGCCTGGTCTACGAGTGAATTCAGGACAGCCAGGGCTACACATAGAAACCCTGTCTTGAAAAACCAAAATAAAAAAAAAAAGAAAGAAAGAAAGAAAAGAGAGAGAAAAAAGAACAGTGCAGTGTTTTTTTTCCCCTCATATCTTTATTTCTACACATTCTTGTGACATTTCCCTTTGTAGGGAACAGGAGGTTAGTAAAATAAGCTGCTTAGATAATTCTAAATAAACAGTTGAAACACACTTTCAAAAACAACCAGTGGGAAGCTGAGAAACAGTCAGTGTCTTGTAGTCTCAACAAAAATAAACTGGGAGAGATTGGGTGTGCCCACCCTCACTCGCCCTACCACAGCGTTGATTTGACCCCAGAGTGACTCATTTCAAACACCTCGGGGAACTCTGGGGTGACCCGCTACAGTAGCAATGGCAGTGACCCGGGACCCAGTAACCGATGACAGCTGAGGACTCCTCCATCCTGGTAAAGGCTTCAAATACAACAGCACCTTGGTGCGCATTCCAACTTAGAAATGAAAATTAGTATTTAGTTCTAGGACATTTATTTTTCAAGCTAAGTAGAAGTGGCCATGATATCTATAGCCTGCTCACACCAGCATCCGTGGACAAGTTCATGAACTCTTGACAATGGCATCCAGCTAAGCCCACTTGGACTCTACAATAAACTCTACAATGTCTTGTGTCATTACACCAAGGCTGTTCACCTCAACCACATCCTAATAAATCACTCAGGCTTGCTGATTACAGTAAAAAGATAAACCAGCGCATCCCTGACAGTATTAGAAATGACAAGCCAAGGCGGTCACTTCTGTATTGGGCTGACAACCATGAGTTCATCTTTGGCAGATGGGTAACAAAGGCTTAAAACCTCCCATTCAAACCTTCTTGTACCCTGATGCAAGGCATTTGAAAAGCAGATCATCTTAAGCTGTGCTGCAATTCTCATCCACTTAGCAAGGAAAAACCTCCTCCCCCGCCCCCCACCTGCTGGAGCCACAGGAAGAGCTGTGAGGGAGGCTCTCCTGCACCATGCTCCTCCCTACCTGAAGATGGCATCGCCTCGGATCCTTCTTCCTCAGTGCCCTACAGGCAGCTCTGCAGCCTGGGTTCAAAAGCACGGCCCAGACGATTGTAAGCTACTATTCTGCTCTCACAGAATGCTGCTCTGTAGAAGTTGTCTTTTATGTGATGCCAAATCTTCAGATGAGAGCTTCAAAAACAATCTCCATGTGTAAAAGGACAATTCCAAAGGAGCACACTCGCCCTCAATGGTGCACAACTTCCGGTCCACCAGGACAGGTGGGGGGAGGGGGAGCTTTGTCATCTGTCAGAGTCTGCCTAGAGTTCCTCAATGTGGGAAGCACCTGGCTCCTTCCCCTGAATACTATATTCTACACAAATAACCCCCACCCTCAGGATTTCTGCTCAAAGTGCAAAAAGCTTTTGTGAGGTTTGTTCAAGGATGGTGCTTTTCTTGTCCTTCATTCTAGGAGCTCAGAAGGCGCTCCAGCCCAAGAGAGTGCCGATTTGAGAATCACTATCTACTTTGTGCTTCTGATGTTTCTGCCAGGGCCAATTTGCCAGTCCAGTTGCTGTCTAAGGTCTAAGCATCTGTGCGTCTTCACTGCCCATACAGTTGCCTCTTACCGGTGAGAGTGGAAATTCTGGTACTGAGGCTTATGGCACGGAGAGGATGGGAATGCGGCCTCTAGCATAGCAGTTCTCAACCTTCCTAAGGCTTGCGACCCTTTCATACAGCAACTCATGTTGCGTGACGAAATCACAGAAGTATTCTATTGCTACTTCCTAAAATCAGTAGTAATTTTGCTACTGTTAGGAATCCTAATGTACATATTTCTGTTTTCTGATGGTTGTCGGACACCCCTTTGAAAGAGTCTGTCAACAAGCCCCTCCCCCAAAAGGAGTCTCAACTCACAGTTTGAGAAACACTAGCAGAGGTTACTCCAGGGATTCGGTCAGGACAAAAAGGCACTCTGCTACCTCACCACGTAGTACAGTAAAGACCTAAAGGATGCTGTGAACAATTCTCATTCTCGGTTGCTCATGCCTGTGGCCGGGGCCAGGAAATCCTACCATCAGGACAGACACATAGACCTGAAGCAGCACAACAGACCACAGCTGCACTCTTTATAAATAATTCTAAGCCTTCCCCCTTCAAAAGCAGCTCATTCAATCTGAAAATAATTTTAAGTTTATGATAATTAACTCTTTCTTAAAGATATCATCTAGTAAGGTTTTTTTTTCAAACATACAGTCTTGCTTCCTTTCTATAATCTTTTTGAAATGACTTAGGAAAGAGGAAAATCCAGGTACTTTCCTTTCCAGTGTTAGTTTGATTGTTCGATATTAGCACATGCAAATAAAGCCTGCCCTTAAGTATATTGTTTTAATCTATTTACTATTAAGGTGTCTTGCCTATAGATAAACAGTAGAACAGATGTAAGCCACGCCCGTGACCTGGTGCAAAACTCCCATAAACTGTCTTCGTGCATGGAGAGGAAGTTTAGAGACAGGATTTCTTCAGACTAAAAAGATGAAAAGTGTCTGTGAAAGTCCCAACTCAAATGTAAAATCTCAAACCTTTATAAATCGAACTGATTCTGCCTAGGGTTCTCTAAATAACGGTATCAAGAACCAGCTTCCCCCTCCCTCCGTACACTTAGTGAAGGCTTCGTATGTTGGCATGTTAAGGGCTTTGTACACCGACAGGTTTCCAAAGTGCCAGGAAAGATGAGATAGTTCCATTTATCAAAACCATCCATCACCCTCCTCTTCCTCCTCGTTGTCTAGATAGAGAAGGGCCACTTTCTTCTCATCTGAAGCCACCGACCTTTGGTCTACCATTCTCTGCAGCTGCACCGTCTTGTCAAATCCAGCCTGCTCCGGGCCTTTCTCTCCACGGGTCTGGTGTCCATCCCCATCGGAGGCCTGAGAGCTCATGCTGGCTGCCTGCTCCTCCCTACCGGGAGCAGTTCTCCAGCCACCACTGTCAGACCCACTGAGAGCTTCCACTTCCTGCCCTGTGTCTTGGGTCCAGCCTCGAAGGGCCCTTGTGTGACTCACATCCATCTGAAAAGTAAATGAAGTGTCTTTGGGCCCCAGTGTAATATGACTTGTGCCGCTACTGCCATCTGCTAACCCAACTAGCTCGGGGGAGGCCACGGAGCCATCGAGCACAAATGTTTTAGACATGAGTCCATGGGCAACAATGTGCTCAGAGGGTTCCTTCTCTAGAGGGCTGATCTGAATCTCCCTAAAGGATCTGCTGATGCCTGCTGTCGCCTCTGCTCCTGTGTCCCCCACACTATCCAGGGGAGACCCAGAAACAACCCTTTGGAATGTGTTCTCTTTGTTCCTGAAAATTTCTCTACCTGAGGCCTGGGCTGTGCCTGCTGAGCCCTCCACCAGGAGCGAGTCCCTAAACTCCAATGTCTGTGCGGCCACCTGCTTGGAGGTTTGCTGCCTCTGAGACACAGTGTCAGCGTGCTGGATGGGCGTACTCCTCCCTGGAGAAACTCTGCTGTACCCAGATGCCTCCTCTACTTCCCACCCCACTCTGTCTGGGATGGGAGCTATGAACTGGATTTCTTCTCTAAACCCTTCCTTCGGGTCTAACTGGAGATGCCTAACAAAAGTCTGGGTACCCACTGACCCTTCGGCTGCAAAGCCAGTACCGACCTGGGCGGCCCCAGAAATAGGACCCTGAAAATGAATTTCCTTTTCAGAGGGGAACTGCTCAGAGCCAGGCATCCTGTGGTTCCCTGACACGTCGGCTTTTGCAGACGGTGCTGCCGGGCCAGGCTCTTCTGTGTCTCCTGTGATCTGCCAGGCAGGCACAGAGCCTCGCAAGATGACCTCTGTGGATACTTGACTTGGATGGGGACCCAGTGTGATGTGCCTCTCGGAGCGGCTGGGTCCCTCTGAGCTGACTGCCTCCCGGACGTCCCCACTTACCTCCACCACCTGTGACGTGGGCCCTCCACAGGACACCTGCTCAGTCCTCCACATTTCCGTGGGGCCTAGCTTAACACGCCTTACAGACTGGTTTACATCCTCCAGCACATGAGACCTTATAAAGCCCGTTGGGCTGGTGACCTCCACAGTGGCCGACACTGGGCCCTGTGTAACACGCTGATCTGAGCTGCGAGAGACCCGGCCGTCATCGTCCCTCTCACCAGATGGGCTGTACAGTTCCCTGGTCGCCCAGCGCTTGAAGACAGTGCCACCAGCAGGCACCTCCTCTCTGTCGTCTCTCTCTGGGCTTCTAGGCAGTGGGCTGGAGCGCTTGGTCAAGCTCTCTCTTACCACTGACTCCACAGCCCTCTCTATTTCCCCAGCTTCATCCCTGCTCAACTCCTCCAGATCTAACTGATCAGCATCTACAGTCTGTGACAGGTTGACCTCAGCCATCAAGGTCACGGAGCCACTAGCAGAGCTCTGGACTTTCTTCACATCCACCGAGACACTCCCTGGCTCTCCTTGACCCTGTCTGGTCAGGGCAGACAGCTCCTCTTTCATACGCTCAGGCAAGGTCTCCTCCAGCTGTCCGATGACCTCCACCAGCTGGTGCCGGGGCTCACTGGAGAAGACACCCTTGATGGAGGTGTGGAGGTCGTGCGGTATTTTGATTTCCTTCTCAATGACTGTGGGCTCGGCATGCAGCTCGCCACTGGCTTCTTCCTTCAAGTGAGCAGAACCGAAGGCGCCACCCAGGGGAGGTGCTGGGACTTCCAGGACCTTCACATGCTTCTCTTCCCCTGTGTCATCTCTTGCTTTCCTTCTCCAAGTCCCCTGTGCAATTTCATCTTGCCATGAGTACCGGATGGTGGACTCTTCCTCAATGTGGATTTGCCCATACACTGAGCCATCGTCTTCTCGGTCATGCCCGCCAGGGTACTCGTCTGGGGTCGACACGTAGTAACTCTGCTCTCCCTCTGAGTCACCTGCCTCCATCACTTCTTCCACGTGAGGGACGTTCCCCTGGGGCTGGCTGGTCCTTTGACGTTGATGCATTGAGAACGCTGCATGGCTCTCTCCTTCACCATCCTCTTCCTCAACAAACCCCTTGGGGCTGGAAGATGCATCATCGACTTCTTCCACTTGGAAGGGGGTAGAAAACTCGGTTTTCCCACCGCCTAGGTAGCTCATGGGCTCTTCCACAATCTCCACGTTTACGACTTTGGCTCTCCCCTCCCTCCCTTTCAGCCCCAGGTTGATCATCTCTCCTATCATTGTCTCAGCTGACTTCCCCTTCAGTCCCACTTCCTTGACATCCTTGCTTAAAAGGTAGTCCAGGCCGGCTTCATCAGAAATGTCAACATCTTCCGTCAGCTTAGACTCCACAACAATTTCTGTCCTGGTTTTCCTCTCACCAGGAAGCTCTTTCCTGTCCACGTAAGTGACCTTTGTGTCTGGGAAAGCACCCGCCTCCTCTTCGGCGTCTGGAGACCGGGTAAACTGCTTAAGGATGGTGGTGACAATGTTTTCTGCTATGGTCTCTGTCATAGAGTCAGCCTGCGGGCTGGCGGTACCCTGGGTATCCAAGCGGAACTTTGCCTCCTTTGCTCCTGCCTCTCTTCCCTTACTGTCGCCAGCTTCCTTCCTTCCAGGTGACTGTAAGCGGACTGTGGACACCTCTGTTCTGCTGCCCTGGGATACTTCGAGACTGATGGGCACTTCCCTTTCCTTCACACTTCTCTCCTTCGGTGCTTCCTTCCCTTTGGCCTCGTCCCTCATCTGCTGGCTTTCTCTCTTTCTTGCTTCTCTGTCTAACTTGGTCAGTTCCTCCCATCTCAGGTTTCTCTCCTCGGAAGCCTTCTCTTTGGAATCAAACATTTTCTCCTCTGGCTTTAGTTTGGTGACCCCTAATCTGTCCCTTTCTTGTTCCTTAGTGGCTTTCACCTCTACTTTCTTTCCCACAATGACAGTCCTCTCATTTGGCTGAGTGCTGTTCCCAGCACCTGCCACCACATTGCCTCGGTGATCTTTGTAGGACTCTCTGGCAACAATGGACTCCGTGGCCCGCCGGGTGGGGGTGTCCCTGGTGCCTTCAACTTTGGGTCTATCCGGGAATGTTTTCACTTGAGCATCTGTGTTTCTTAGAAGGCCGTGGGTTGGAGCAACAGGCCTGAAACTGGTTTGACTGCTGACCGTTTGCTCGAGGGACTTTTGCTGCAGGGTTGTAACTGAGGGAGAATACCCAGAGGTTAGGAACCCCCTTCTGGCAACACTTCCAACAGCTGTGGTTGTCTGTGATTCAAGGTGCCCTGGCCTGTTAGAATGCAAAGCCAAGTCATGATTTACAGCTGCCCAAGGTGTTTTCTGCCTTGGGAAGAGATTTTTCTCATTCTTCCTCTGTAATATTGAGTTGGTATAACGATGGGATGTGTTTATGGACTCTGTAGAGATGAAACAAACAGTTCATTTAGATGACAGGCATTGTTTTTTTTTTCCATCATAAAAGCACTGCTGTAGGTCAAATCCCAGGTTATTATAAAATATACTATTATTAGGGGAAGGCTCGTTTTGAGAGAATGCGGTTATTCTCCACCTTATCTTTTGGTTGTTTTAGTACTCACTGTCACAATAAATTATCACCCCAAAAATACCTCAGTCTAGTGCTTATCTCCAGTCACTGATCTTAGAATACTCCTCCCTAAGAGAATGTAACATGTGCAAAGCATGCCAGGGAGGTCAGAGGCACTGGTTTTCTGGTTAAATTTTTACAATATTATGACATTTCAGAACCGTTGACTTCAGCTATGTTGAGATAACTTTACTTATTTCAGCAGGGATGAGCTCCATAATTACAAAGCGTGTAATTGCCGGATGCCAAACAGCACACCTCTGCATGGCACAGACTCCTGTTTTATCAGACCCTGTGTGGAGCAGCAGGTATTGAAGACCTTAGATTACCTAAACTGCCTTGAATGTCTGTAGTTGACAATTTATAGTTTCAACAAACAAGCCAGGTGTCAGAGCTCCCCCTGTCCCACTGCCATCCTCCTGGAGTCAAGAGGCAGCCTCAGGGGTCATCCTCAGAGAGTACGGCCCTTCGGGTGCACGGACTCCACCAGGGTTAGCACCTCTTCGGAACGGCAGCTGAGCATGACAGAAGCCTCACCCACTCAGAGAGCAGCTCTTAGTGTCTGCCACATCCCATCTGGCTGGACACCTCCCTACCCCTCCCTCATGGCAATGGAGGCTAGAGGCCTCCCTGAGACAGGTCCCCAGGATACAGGGAAAGAGGAACTATTTTTTTTTAAACAAAGATTTCTTTTTCAGGTTAATATACTGATCTTAATCGAGAAACCCCACAGGATCAAGTTCAATAAGAATTATGGAAGCTCTCAGGCTAGTTTTAGGTCACTCGTGTCACAGGAGGCAGCCAATATTATTTCAGAGCACATTATAAAAGAAAACTAAGAGCACTAATATGCATTGATCGGTTTACTAGGACCTCGTCTGCAGGTTTATTCCATAAATAGTTAATGGGCAGCTATACTTCACAGGAAACAGCTACCCGGAAGCATAAAGGCCGCCTTACAACGAGTCACCTTCATTCCACAGCGGCTATGTTTAGCATAATACCTAAGCGTTAAAATACATTTAGTTTGTAAATGTGAAGTGCTTGCATTGGTCTAGAAGCTTGAAGAACAATGGATGAATAAATCTCGCTAGCAGAGATACCTACCTGCCTTCTTCCCGGCTCTAAATTCATGGCTAGCAAAATATCAGCAAGTCCCACACTCCAAAGGCTGCTTCTCCTGGGAGTTTGGTCCTGGGCCCTTTATTTCCGTCTCTTCTTCTTTAGTAAGCCTTAAAGTCTACCAGGTAAATAGCTCTTATTTTCTACATGTCAGAAGGCAACTGACCAGAAGCCAATTGGCCAGTCAATGGCCAATTGCATGGATCTCTCTATTGTTTTGTTGTTGTTGTTCAGACTTATTCTCAAAGTGAGAGCACAAACTTGCTAGATGTTACCTAAGGATAAATCCCTTCTAGAACCACAGTCCCGAGGCTGAGCTCAGGGATCTGCCAATCTGAGAAGTGGACAGCAGGAGCAAGGAAGACAAAGTCCGCTGAGAAAGGTACATGGTGGGCCTTGTAGGTGATGAGTTCTGAAGGTGCCCAACCTATGGGCTCTGTGTCCACACACTGGGTCAACTAAAGATCAAAACTATTTTAAATAATGTATCTGCACTAAACACATGCAGAGTCTTTTCTTGTCATTTTTCCCTAAGTAATGCAGTGTGACAGCAGTTTGCACAGTATGGACGTTGTACTTCATTCCGTAATCTAGAGAGGATGTAAAGTCTGTAGGAGGATGTGCAAATCCTATAACACGTTAGACAAGGAACTTGAGCATCTGCAGACTTGGGTATGAATAGATGTCCTGGAGATGTCTTCCCCAGACACCAAGGCAGACTTTATGCTGAGCACACCATATGTCTTTTAACCTGACATTGCAGAGACAGAATCTCTTTGAAGATTCAGCAGGCTTAAATATTTAATTTCAAAGTTATCTTATAGATTTTTAAGGTCTTCCACAAGAGCAAATTTAAGCTCCTTTGTGTCAGAAGAAGGAGGAAGAAAAAGAGGAAAAGGAGAAGGATGAAGAGGAGGAGGATGAAGAGGAAGAGGAAGGAGAGGAGGAGAGCCCTGATCTGGAGCTGTGGGCCCAAACTAAAGTAGGACACAGGCTACACCACCCTGACTCACCACTCCAACCTAAGGTGGCATGAGTGTCATTGACCTGGTAGGGTTACAATTTCTAGAGTGCTGAGGGCATGCGCTCCAAAGTAATAATTCTGTATGTTTGTTAGAGCCATTATTGTTTGGTCTGGAAAAAGAAAATATATCCCTTCTAAGGATATAATGAACAAGCACACATCCTCTCACCCTTCAGAAGGCCCTGCATTAGCTGCAACTCCTCAGCCATGAAGTGCCTCAAAATATCATCTCCACGAGCAGATTAGTCCAGCCACTCCAATTCACACTGTAATTTAAATTGCGTCCCATTCAGCTAGATTCTACTTGGTACTTAAAAGAACAATGGACTATCATTATCTGGGTGGGGTGGGGGTGGGGAGCATGGCTAAACCCTCTGCTTCTAGATAAGTTGTACCATTCTCCATGAGTGGAGCTGGTAGCTCAGATAGGAAGGGAAGCATCTTAACATTACAATCTTAACAAATACGATCTCTTATATTTACCTTGTGGCACGTTTTCAATGTTCTCAGTCCAGATCAGTATCTCCGGATTGCTTTCTCCTTCCAACAAGGCCCTGTCAAAGTTATTTTTAAAAATAGTTTATTATAGCATGAAAGAGGAAAAAAGAATGCTTTCATTAAGTATGTTGGGCAACATTTTGTCAGTGACTACACCATCACAGCGCCGTGCATTTTAAGACCCGTGCCCGGGGTGCGGCGTGGTAGGGGCTGTACCAGGGTGGTACACTTTGCTTTGCTCCCTGTCATGCCCCTGGCACCCAGCATGCCATCTGTTACATGACAGATGTTCAAGTGATGACAGCTGAATGAAGAAAATGCTTGGCAAGGCAGGCTTCAGGAGTGCCAGAGGGTTAACCCTTTCTAGAAACCTTTCCCCCCCCTCACCCCCCCCAAAAAAAAAGAAAACCTTTCCTGCCCTAGGCAAAGAGGGGTATACACCAAGCAGTCCTGGGGAGATTGATGGAGAAGGGTATGTCAGGGCCTAGCATTTTTGGCCAGCAGAGAGAGGCCTAGGCTAGTATTCACCTAAACTACAGGGCCCCACAGCAACTGAGTGCCAACCCCAGTACAGACACAGGAGTCATGGGAGTGAGAGAGGCTGCGGAGAGTGAACCAGTAGAGCAAGGAGCTGTAACTGACACTATTCGTAAATAGGAGGCTGGATGGAAGCTGGTGTTTCTTTCATTTCTTTCCTTCTCCTTTTTTTTTTTTTTTTGCTTTTCTTTACATACACACATATGTTATATATACATACATATATATGCATGTATATATGTGTGTGTATATACATACATACGTGTGTATACAAACACACACACACACACACACACACACACACACACACACACACATATATATATATGGCTGACAAACAAACCTAGGGCTACATATGTGATAGGCAAGTACTTTGCCACAGAGCTGTATCTGCAGACCTATGAGGACATCTCACAGATGAAGGCAAGCGTGTAGAGAAGCACCCCCATGGGTGTCCCCCTTCACCCGGAGTGGCGTCCTTTGCCTCCTTTAATAACACACAGTGGAAAGTACTCCCCTAGGTTTAGCTCCAAATTCCTAAAATTATAGTCATCGAGTTGTCATTTGCACCTGCTACTTCGAGAGGCACTGAGGAAGGCGTGGGCCCAAACAGAGCAACATGCTGGGGGTGAGGGTGTTACGTCAGTGGGGTGCCAATCAGCTGGACACTTCCAAAGACCTCTAGGACTACCGGAGACTGCAGATGCAACAGCTGTACGGCTGCGAGAGAAACACGCGAAGTCGCTAACTCCAACTCCTAGAGATAGCCGCGCACGGTGGAGGAAGGCTGAGAACCACAGCCCACTTGGAAATGCGGGTATCAGGACCTAGCAGCAGCAGGAAAAGAGCAGGGAGCTCAGGTCCCAGCTGGGCTTGGCAGTTTGAGGGAAACTGCAGCAACGTTCATGTCCACTGAGTTAAAAGCAGCAATCCCCACAGGGGCAATGTTATCGGACCCACTGGCCACCGGGAGAAAATAGAGGCACAAGGGATTCACCCCAGGCACACACTGGTGGGCTAAGCACGGACACAGCCAGTGAAATACACATGTGTGGAGATCCAAGAAAACCGAAACCAGAGCTGAAGCTCTTCCACTCAGGACGAAGGCCAGGAAAGCAGACACCAATCCATTAATCCCACACCCTCATGACCAAGCAATTTAGCTTCCAGGAACACAAACAGCTTCCATCATCAAAAAACCTCTGAGGTCTGTATAATAAAAGAAACGTTCCAGGGAAAAGCCAGACTCTGTGGAGCTATACCCTGGGCTCTTTGCAGTGGAGGGGCATTCTACAGCTGGGAGCCAGAGCAGGGCCTGAGGACGAGGCCAAGTTCAGGCCTTATAAGCTTCACGTACCACAGGGCCTGACTTAGACCCAGGCTGCCAGACTCAGGGCAGAAGGAGCCTTTGGGAGTTCAGGTCAGCAGAAAACGTTGCCGATAGACCCAGGGGACTAGTAACTGGTTAAAACTATACCTTTCCTCACCTCTCAAAGGAGAATGGTTCTGTCTCTTCCCCCAGGGAGAAGCCAAAGCCTTACAGCAGTCAGGCCGTCACTGAGAACTGTCATGGCCACTTACTCATCAGGGCACCAGGCCTTGCCCAGCTCCCTCTCTGAGGAAATAAGGCCAGAGTGAAGACAGTGTCTTAGCTAAGGGCCCACAGAATACCCAAAGACAGCCCCTTGAACCCAGGTGGCTAAAAGCTCTCAGAACACAAGGCTTCTCTATGAGACAGGGACGGTGACATTACATACAAATGTCAGAACGCACAAATTCTGCCACTAGACCTTCCATTCAACGTTCAAGTGAATTCAACCTCTCTCTCGGTAATTTCATCCCAACCCCTGCCATTTGTGCTGTCCTTCATGAATTCCTCGTCTGTGCCCCGAGTCACTGGCTGAATCCTAGAAGGCACGGGCACATGTCACCTTGTATAACTCAAGGACCCAGCACTGAGCCTGAAATGGCTGGCTGGCCCCTGGGATACCAGGGCTTGCTACTGAAGCAGGAAGCATGTCAGGACAGCACTGAACCCCGCCCTGCCAGCATAGCTCCCGGGACTAATATGGCAAAGTCAGAGACTAAACCACCAGGGAGATTTCCTGTGATCCTGTCAAAGAGCAGCTCAAGGGACAGGCTTGGATAACTTTAAGAAATATGTAGCGTGCTCTTCAAGGCTCCCACCAAACCTGGTTATTTTGAGAGCAGGGTAGGAAAGCTGCCTCCAGGCCACAGAGACTGTGAGAATGCCAACCCCCTGAGTCACCCGACTATTAGAGAGCATTTCATACAGCTCCACAGGCTGGCTGCCTCTCTAAGCAGGAAAATACGCAAACAAGAGGGAGACCAGTCCCTGGCCTCATTAGGAGCCTCACACAACTCCATGACATGGAAGTGAGCTGTAATGTGGCCTCTGGCTCCACGCCAAGCCCTAATAGGCCACCCACCATCCCACCCAGGGCGTGATGGGGGTGATGTCGGGGACGGATGATCCGAATGGCAATTTAGGGCATTATCTGCTAATGCTCAGCACTGTGGGCACAAGGCTGATGGGCAGTAGGATCTCCCATCACTGGGGACACGATTAGGGAGAGGGACGGGAGGGGACACTTTCAGGAGTGACACCTGTGAGGAGCCTGCCATGGTCCAACCATCTGTGGGTGGTTCAAATCGTGCCTCCAAACAGGTGTAGAACTGGGGGAGGGGAGGGCAGGGGCACAGACCCTCAGAGCTGCTCACTATACATAATGAGCTCCACAGGGGGAGGAGGGCAACGTGGGTCATGATTGGCCAGCCAGTCACCGGGAGGTGGGGGCCAAGAGAAAGAGAGGGGGGAGAAAAAGGGGGACAAGCTGAATTCCAGTCACAAGAGGAACACGGTTACACAAACACAAGAATCTGGGGATGTGGAAAGCGGGTGAAGGTGACAAGGAAAAGACAATGCATCCCAAAAGCCAACTTCAGACCAATACCAGAGACTGAAAAAAAAGATGTAATTAGCAGACAAGCGAAGAACGCTGGTAAAACAGTCAGAACCACTGATGAGGCAGCCTTGACTCAAATCCTGGGCATGACGCTACGGAGCTCCAAGAGCCTCAGCAGGCCACTTTTACCAGGTGTGACTTCCGTTCCCTGTTTGTGAAGTGGGAGAACTCTCAGGTTTGCAGTGACAACTAGGTAAGTAGGAGAAAGTCCATCGAAGAATGGCTGCCATTAAGTTAAGTGTGCCATCGCCACCATGGCCTCCTCCTCTGTGGCCTTGGATAAAACTGATTTTCAGCTAATAAAGCTAGTCAAGGGGGAAAGGATTGCTATTTTTTAAAGATTTGTTTGTTTGTTTAATGAATATGAGGGCTCTATCTGCATGTACACCTGCATGCCAGTATAGATGGTTGTGAGCTACCATGTGGTTGCTCGGAATAGAACTCAAGACCTCGGGAAGAGCAGAGTAAGTGCTCTTAACCACTAAGCCATCCCTCCAGCCCCCACTATTTTTCTTAATCTGGGTAGCACCCAGATACATTCCTGGATCCTCTCACTTGTTTCTTTTTGGGGGGTGGGAGGAGGCTGTACGCATGAATGCCCACCCAGAAGCCGGACTTTGCACTATCCCCTGCAGTCAGAGCCTCTCACTGAACCTAGAACTAATCTGGTGGCCAGGGATTTGCAGTGACTGTCCTGTCTCCCTCCCCTCCCCCCACAGCCCTGGGGTTGCAGCTCAGTCACAGGTGCTCTACATGGATTTTGTATGTAGCTTCTGGGAATAAGAACTCATGTCCTCCTGTTTGCACAGCAAGTGCTCTCTTTCTCCCCCCCCGCCACCCCCCCCCCCGCCCCCTGCCCAGGATGATCGTTTCTAACTTACCCTTTCCTAAATGGTTCATTATGTTTATTGGACATGTGTGTGCTCCCACATGTGCCACACTGTGCATGTAATCAGACAACCTGTGGGAGCTGGTTTTCTCCCTTTACCGTACTGGTTCCAGGGAATCAAACTCAGGCTTGCTGCAAACAGCCACTGAGACCCCCTCGCCAGCCCTAACTTTACCTTTTAAAAGGACTTCTGCCCTAAAGACTGGGCCAGTCTGTATCCTATTACGTAACTACGGCTGTGGAGACAGGACCTCCAAGACTTTCTGTGTTGCTTTCTTAGTTTCTTAGGTTGTGTTCCCTGTGAGAGAAATAGGTTTCTCTGTGGCTCAGTTTCATAAATTTCTGTGAATGAGGCTGAAATGCCATGGTGGGACAAAGCAAGTGAAAGAGCAGAGAGGTGATCAGGGACAATAGTGACCTCCTTCCTCCTAGTATGTACAACTTCCCAATACTACCTCCTATGATCAATCCACTAATGGGGTCAGGGACCCCAGGATCCAGTCATTTCCAGAAGCCACCAGCTGGCAGGCAACCAAATCTTCATCAAGACGTGAGCCTTCTAGGATGTGCCTCATTTCCACACCATGCACAGGTAAGACAGCGAACCACCATAAACCTTTCGTCCCCTGTCTTTGTTTCTTTT